GAGGGTCCCCCCCACCCAGACCCCAGCCCTCAGCCAGAAGGGCCCAACATCTGTCCCCAGCGGCCCCCCCGCCCACCCCCGGGTGCTCATCAGCTTTATTTTGCTTGTTGACTGATTATTGAGGCTCACCCTGCCCCTCCCCCAATTCCAGGAGCGTCTCAGAGACTCTGGGTGCCTTGGGCTGGCGAAGGGGTTCGATCTCAGTCTCCGGCAGGAGGCACAGGAGCTGCACCCCAACACCTCTGCCTGCAGCCCGTGGCCCATGGCCCTGCCCTCCTAACCACGGGTATGAGCAGAGCAGCAGGCTGGGGCCTCCCACTGGGGTGTCTGGGGCTGGGGAGGGGCTGGGGTGGGTTCTGGATCTGGAGGGACCCTCCCCGGCCCTTGGGGGTCCTCCCTGGTCATGGGGATGCCCCCCGCGAGGTTCTGACTGAGGGACCCTCACACTCAGCAGGACCCAGAGGCCCCCCACCCCTGTCTCTTCCTCTTCAAAGGCAGCAGGGGCTCCCCCTCGGAACCTCGGTTTACCCCTGCAGCATGGACAGGAGAACAGAATCAGAAAAGGCCACGGGTGGTCCCCTGGTAACTGACGTAATACAGACGTCACGAGAGGGACCCCGCTTGCATTGGAAGGCTATGAATTCAGGAGTCTCACGGACACGGATTCCTGGTGGCTACGATTTGGGGGTACAAGGCACCAGGTAGGGCAGAAACGGGGACCTGAACTTGAGGAGGGGGACTCCAAGGCCTTACCTGGAGGAGAAACGGGGACCTGGAATTGGGGGGGACCCAGAGGCAGGAGTTGGAGAAGGACTTTAGATGAATATTGGGGGAGAACGAGGCATCCGATTTCGATGGAACTAGAGACGGGAATTTAGAAAATTATCGATCACGAAGACGGGGGGGCCTGGCCGTCGGGATGTGGGGGGCCCGAAGACGTGGTGCCAGCATTTGCAGGGCGCTCAGGCTCTCCCCAAATCTGAACAGGGGCAGGCGGACAGCCTGGTACCCGACCTGAAGCCACGCCCTCCCCTGGGAACGACCAATCACCAGCATCCAAGTGCCTAGAAGGCGGGACGACGTGGGGCGTCTCCAAGGCAACGGCGAATCGCAAGCCGAGGTCACCTCCCCTCCCGCCCCCAGGGCTGGGGCTCCGCGGTCGCCATGGTAACCCCGACGCTCAGTTAAGTTTCCACAGGATCGTTCTTTCCTCTCCTGACGGATTTCCTTTTCTTTCTTTCTTTCTTTCTTTCTTTCTTTCTTTCTTTCTTTCTTTCTTTCTTTCTTTCTTTCTTTCTTCTTTCTTTCTTTCTTTCTTTCTTTCTTTCTTTCTTTCTTCTTTCTTTCTTTCTTTCTTTCTTTCTTCTTTTTCTTTCTTTCTTTCTTTTTCTTTCTTTCTTTCTTTCTTTCTTTCTTTCTTCTTTCTTCTTTCTTTCTTTCTTTCTTTCTTTCTTTTTCTTTCTTTCTTTCTTTCTTTCTTTTTTAATATATTTTTTTGATTTTTTACAGAGAGGAAGGGAGAGGGATAGAGAGTTAGAAACATCGATGAGAAAAAAAAAGAAACATCGATGAGAGAGAAACATCGATCAGCTGCCTCCCGCACACCTCCTACCTGGGATGTGCCCGCAACCAAGGTACATGCCCTTGACCGGAATCGAACCTGGGACCTTTCAGTCCGCAGGCGACGCTCTATCCACTGAGCCACACCGGTTAGGGCACCTCCTGCCGGATTTTCCACCGCAAAGGACCCGGCGGAGAGTCTGGTTCGGACCCCAGGCGGAACTACACCTGGAGCCCAGATCCGCCCACTCGGGGCGCCGCTGGGGTGCCACCGGCTGGACCCCTGCCCTTCAGGTCCAGGCGGGGCCAAGGCGGGTTGGTGTGTTGGTTCCGGACTCTGGCTGGCTCCGGTTGGGCCGAGACCTGGAGGGACGACCAGCCTGGGCATCTGCCGCGTCTGGCCTCTGGCCTAAGCCCCTCTGGGGCCTATGTCCTCTGTGTGTGAAGGTCAGGCTGTGGGCAGGGGTCTGGGGCCTCCAAGCTCCAGAGCTGGCAGGGGGTGGGGGGGGTCTGGAGCCTGGCACATAGCAGCAGCGCCCCCTACATGTCTGCAGAGTGAACAGCCCATTTTATAAATTAGTTAAAAGCAGCCGCAGGTTTTCCAGCGTCCGCTGGACACCAGCCAGCCCTGAGCCAGGACCGTGACACGGATGGATTCTTTTAGTCCTCACGCCAGGGGTAGAAAGGTGGCAGCATCGCGTCTCTGTTATATTTTATTTTATTTATTTTATTTTATTTTATTTTATTTTTTGCGTCCAGTGTACAGATGAGAAAATGGGGACTAGAGAGAGGAAGCCAGTTCTGGGCTACATTCTTAGCCTTTAGGAATCGGAAAATGTTAGCTTCAGAGCTACTACAAGGATTTAAGAAGAAAAAAAAAAAAACAGCCCTGGCTGGTGTGGCTCAGTGAATAGATCGTCGGTCTGCGGAGTGAAGGGTCCTGGGTTCCATTCCAGTCAAGAGCACATGCCCGGGTTGTGGGCTCGATCCCCAGTAGTGGGTGTGCAGGGGGCAGCCGATCCATGATTCTCTCTCATCATTGATGTTTCTATCTCTCTTCCCCCCCCTTCTTCCTCTCTGAAATCAATAAAAATATATTAACAGCCCTGGCCTGTTTGGCTTAGTGGATGGAGCGTCGGCCTGCGGACTGAAGGGTTCCAGGTTCGATTCCGGACAAGGGCATGTACCTTGGTTGCGGGCACATCCCCAGTAGGAGGTGTGCAGGAGGCAGCTGATCGGTGTTTCTCTCTCATCGATGTTTCTGACTCTCTATCCCTCTCCCTTCCTCTCTGTAAAAAATCAATAAAATATATTTAAAAAGTAAAAAATACATAAAACTATAGCAACCTCTCCCTTCCTCTCTGAAATCAATAAAGAAATATATAAAATAAATAAATAAAATAAAATGTGTAAAAAGAAGAAAGAAAGGAATGTGTTCTGTCTCTGTGCTGGAGGTCAGAGTCTGCAGTCAGGGTATTAGCAGGGCCTCGTCTCCGAAGGGTCCCAGGCAGAAACATGTCCTGGCTCCTGGCTCCTGGCGGGTCCAGATGCTCCTGGCTGCTTCCCTCCAATCTGGGCCTCTTCCTGTTCTCCCTACGCCTTCCTCTAATCGGGACACGGTCATTAGCCATCGGGGCCACCCAGGGAATTCCCCATGAGCTCATCTCAAGATCCTCACCTCCATCGGCAAATGCTCTTTCCCCAAAGAAGGTCCCACCCACAAGTCCCGGGGATTAGGGTGTGGAAGCACCTTTTGGGGGTGCGGGCACCGTTCAATTACTATGGCCTCCTTCAGGGGGACCTGCTCAGCCGTGGGTGACTCGATGCCCAGGACACTTGTCCACCGATTGGTGGCGATTGGCCATCTGGCCGCCCTGGTGGGTCCTTGGCCTCTGGATCTCTGATCATCCAGGAGGCCACGCTGGGTGCTGGCCGGGGGCCAGCTGTTGTGCAAACCGGGACACAAGGCCAGCAGCCATGACCCCGGATTCCCTGGAAGCCTGAGGCAGGCTTGGGGCAGGCGTCCAGGCCCCACCGTCCCTCATGCCCGGAGCACAGAGAGCTGGCCTCCTGACGGCAGGATCTGGGTCCCGGCTGGGGGTTCCAGGATGCGCTGGTACCCATGCCCGGGTGCCTCCCAGGGGTGCCGCTGAGAACCATGGGCACCTGCCCTCTTGCTGCTCAGTGGCCTCTGTGAGAGGGGCCACCGCTCACTCTGGGGTTCCAGTTGTACCAGGAGGAAGGGGGTGTGAGGGTCCCCCACGTCTGTGGCCATGGCTGAGGGACCCTTTTCCTCGTGTGGGGACCTTGGACCCCAGCCTGTTCATGTCCCGGGACTCTCATGTGGACGGTGGCAGGGAGCCACGGGCAACCTGGGTGTGGGGGGCGGGGTGGGGCTCCCTGGCCACACAGGTGGGGGTTTGAGTGCCGGTGCCCCATCCTGCCCAGTCACAGCTGCCCGTCTGGAATTCAGTGCCCGCAGCGCCCCAGGGCTGGGACCCCCATGAGGCATCGTGGGCCGCGGCCCAACACGCTGCCCGGGATTCCCACAAAGAGCTTTCTGCCTGGGCTGCGTGGACTGAGACACGTTTGTGGGAGAAAAGTCCGTGTCCAGGGGCAGAACTCAGAGTTTAAGCGTCTGATGTGAACACCGGTGTGCAGACCCCTGGGCCAGGTTCACGCTTCATTTTTACCTAGCAATTCTGAAGACCTTGCTTTCTGGAAAAAAAAAATAAAATATATAGCCCTAACCAGTTTGGCTCAGTGGATAGAGCATCAGCCTGCGGACGCAGGGGTCCCAGGTTCAATTCCGGTCGGGGGCATGTACCTCGGTTGCGGGCACATCCCCAATGGGAGATGTGCAGGAGGCAGCTGAATTGATGTTTCTAACTCTCTATCCCTCTCCCTTCTTCTCTGTAAAAAATCAATAAAATATATTTAAATATATATATTATTACTATTTTTAATATATATTTTTATTGATCTCAGAGAGAGAGGGAGATAGAGTAGAAACGTCAATGATGAGAGAGAATCATTGACCGGCTGCCTCCAGCACACCGCCCACTGGGGATCGAGCCTGCAGCCCAGGCCTGTGCCCTGACCGGGAATGGAACCCGGGGCCCTTCAGTCTGCAGGCGGAAGCTCTATCCACTGAGCCAAACCAGCTAGGGCTTAATTTAGTTCTTTTTTTTGTGCGTATTTATTATTGCTGAGGTTCCTAAAGCCACAGGTGATCTCCCTGTCACCCCCTCTGCACACACACACACACACACACACACACGCACCCCTGGCCTTGGGAAGGACAAACACCAGGAAGAGGTCAGTGTCCGGCTCCACCCACTGCCCCCTCCCTCCCTCGGGCCTTATGACCTCCCTCCCTCACCCGCTGGGGCCAGGCTCACACCATGGCCACGCTGGCGGCCTTCCTGCTGCTCTGGGGTGAGGCGCCCTGGGCCCGGGGCCCCTGGGGAGGGCGGGCGGGCGGGCGGGAAGGGGCAGGAATGGGGGCCTCACGGGCCTGTCCCCACAGGTCTCTCCCTGAGCCCGGCGGCCGAAGGGGGTGTATGTGAGTCGGGGCCTGGGCTGGGACGGTGGGTGGGAGCACTTGGGACCCGAAGACGCCGGGTGCACAGGGACTTGGGGAAGGTGGGCGCACGCAGGGGGTGCCCCTGTCCACCTCCCTGGGTCTGACCCTCGCCCCCCCCCCCCACAGTTGTTGAGACCCGGCCGGACCTGTGGGCAGAGGCTGGCTCGCTGCAGGAACCCTGGGCCAAACTGACCCTGGTCTGCCGGGCCTGCCTGGTCACCTCGGACTTTCAGCTGTTCAAGGATGGGGAGCTCCTGGAGCGGGTGCGCCTCAGTGAGGGGGGCTTGGAGCATCGCTTCCCTCTGGGGGCGGTGACGGGGGACACGCGGGGCCTGTACCGCTGCCGCTATGCCATGGGCGATGACAGATGGACCTCGATGAGCAACCTGCTGGAGGTGACGGGGGCAGGTGAGTGGGGGCCCCCCTCCCTCCTCACTCTCCTTGCCGGCCCCTCCCCCTGAGCGCCTGGGGGGCTGTGGGCCAGACCCTGACATTTCTGAGCCTCAGTTTCCCGGTCTGTAAAATGAGGGTGATTTTTAAAAAAATATATTTTATTGATTTTTTACAGAGAGGAAGGGAGAGCGAAAGGGATAGAGAGTTAGAAACATCGATGAGAGAAAAATATCGATCAGCTGCCTCCTGCACACCCCCCACTAGGGATGTGCCTGCAACCAAGGTACATGCCCTTGACCGGAGTCGAACCCGGGACCCTTCAGTCCGCAGGCCGACGCTCTATCCACTGAGCCAAACCGGTTTCGGCCCTTCCCCATGTTTTATGTCCCTGTCCATCTCTTTTTATTTTATTTAATCGTTTATCGATCTAATACTAGAGGCCCAAAATCCTCACCTGAGAGTATTTTTCCCATTGACTTTTTTTTTTTTTTTTTTTTTTTTTTTTTTTTAGAGGAAGAGGGGACGGGAGAGGGAGAGGCCGAGAGAAACATCCATGTGAGAGAGACACACGGACTGGTTGCCTCCTGCGCACGCCCTGACCAGGGCCCGGGCGGGGAGAAGCCTGCATCCAGGTGGGCGCCCCTGACCCAGACCGAACCTGGGCCCCTTTGGTCCGCAGGCGGCGCTCTAACCCACTGGGGATACCACCTAGGGCTTTATTTTATTTTTTTAATATATATATATTTAATATATTTTATTGATTTTTTTACAGAGAGGAAGGGAGAGGGATAGAGTTAGAAACATCGATCAGCTGCCTCCTGCTCACTCCCCACTGGGGATGTGCCCGCAACCGAGGTACATG